AGATCCATAGAAAGGGACTCTGATAGCTTTTTTGAAACGAGTCCCCAAACTCTCGTTGCCAAGTCCCAGCCAATGTCAGGGAGTTCTTTTTATCAGTATCATCCTGAAGTTTGATCAATTAATATAAAAAAACAAAAAAACAAAAAATTGGGTGGCTTTTGAGAATAGTTTTGCTTGCCATCTCGTTTCGGTTGTTCCAAACAAAGCCCAGGTGTAGTAGACGAGCAGCGTTTCTTCTTTCATAATCATTGCAATTCAATGGCGTGATCTATATTATAGGATCACAAATCTCTCGTAAGGGTGGTTGCAGACTAACCCCGATGAAAGAAAGGGTGCTTGCTTGTGTAGTTAAGTTGGGTTTTGGGGGGTGTAGGGCCTCTAAGTGGGCCAGTTGAAAGAAAGGGTGTCCATTGGACCACAGATACAGCCCGCCCATAGACAGGGCTTGGGCCCATGATGGGTATGCTTAGCAATTTCTATTGGGGCCTTAATGGTAAAGTTGTAAATAAGGAAACGTCTCTAGATGATAGTGAATTATTTGAAGTACACTTGAAATGCAAGAAAGAATGAAGAACATTCAAGTGGAGAGGAAAGAAAAAGAACGGAGAGGAATCTTTTTTCTGAAATAGAAAAAAAATAATAAAAAAATAAAAAATTGTCGTGATTCATGATGTGCTTGCTTTAGCTTTGCTTTTGGCATCACTTCTCACGTTCGTTGCATTCACAACCAAATATGTTTCTTTTGTACTTTTCAATTTTAGTTATTATTTTTTGTATGGATGAATTGTGCAAAACGAAAATATATTCTAAATTAGTTTTGATATTAACTTTTTTTTTTTTTCTCTAAACCTAAATTACTAGTTAACTAACCACAAACGGAATACAAATGGGCAAACTTTTCCCTTTTTGATTTATCTTCTTAATTATGGTAAGTTTTACCGACCCCAGAAGGCTTTCTAGGTCGTTCTATCCATTTGATCTATTTCTTGTCTAGGGAGAGATAGATTTGATTATGTCATTAGATTTAGAGTGTAGTTAAGTATGCGCCAATTTATCATCTTTGATGCGAGCATAACCTTTAAATTCGTAGTTCTTAACCCCGGCCTCTTACTTGCAAGTAGTCTAGTCAAGTATTTTTGTCCAATGCTCCTCGTGTTGAGGATATTATCTATTAGGGTGGTCATGGACTTCTATTCTCCATGAGATATAAGATATGTTATGTTGTGTTGAGTTTTGTTGTTGATATGTTCTCCCCTAGCGTTCTTCTCTGCTTGTGCTTTATGCCAATTTGTATAATATAATCTTTGAAAAAAGAGAAGAAGAAGAAGAAAGATTCACATGTGCAGGTTATTCTAAGGAGGATTAACTTCAAGTGGTCCTAAATGCGTCCTTTGTAGAAACAAAATTTGAAAGAAGAAAACAAATAAAATTTGTACTATCCTAACATATTATGTTCTTTTTTCAAAATTAGTAATATAACTTTTAAGTTTTTGTTTTTTTCAACTTTTGATTTTTATTGAAAAGCAGAAAATAATACAAAAGAATTTAGGAATTAACAGTGTTATTTAAATTTTTTTTTTTTAAAAAGTTAATTATAAATGTTTGTTCCGGTTAAAATTATATAATATTTAGAAAATATATTATAATAATTAGTTATAGAATATATTTGGTATATTTGTAATTAGTTAATTTTTTTTTATTGATTTGATTAATACTATATTTTATTTTATTATCAAGATTTAGTTAATTTTTATTTTCTTTATTTTAGATATTAGTCGATAGCTTCTATCTTATTTAAAATAGGTGAATATGAATGAAGACTACACCTTTAGATCCCAATTCTATTTCTCATTTTTAATCTGTATAGAGTTTAAAGCCAAATCCTAACTCAATCAGTGAAGCTTTACAGCCGCCGATCATCTATCGTGATAAGTTTCATCGTAATAAATCCAATTGAGTATCACAACAACCACAACTTCCTGCTTTTAACGGCTTCCAAACCTTAAGCAACCACTACTAGTCCTCAAGTCACAAATTACAGTCCCCGACTAATCCATACATCACCGCAAGTCGCAAGTTTGTGAGCCTAGCATTACCACTACTATTGCAATAGTCCCACTAGCTTTTATTGGTATCCCACTTGTTTTCAAATTCAATAACTTTGATATACACCTATTCCGCAAACCTACAATTCCCACTATACCATCACTTTCCAAAATCTAAATACACTATTCCGCAAACCAACCGTGTTTAAGGAATGATTTTTCTGTCATGACTTTGTTTTAGACTCAATTTCTATCCAAACTAAGACCTACTAGTTCATCATGTCAGAAGAATCTTTCAGAGCAAGAAAAGAGGAATAACTGAAGAAAAGTGATAGAAATCAGAACGGAGGACGACAGATGAATTGGGTTACATATCATCCTTCCACAAGATATATCATCCTTTTAAGCCCACATCTCGAAAGTGTTAATTGTTGGTCTCTATAGCGACTGTCTCTGATTTAGCACCGCAAGTCATCAATATTTTTTTCCTCTCAACAATGAAATCAAGAACACGTTCACTATCAAGATGATGTGGCCAGCTATCCAGATTCCATTATTAACAGGTAGCCTCCTAATCTTAATCTTAATATGGATTTTGAATTGGGTACATATATTCTCAATCATTCTACTACACTCTCTTCTTAAAGACAAGTTGGGTGTTATTGACCTACACTCTTAAAGACAAGTTGGGTGTTATTGACCTACACTCGTAAAGACAAGTTTGATGTTATTGACCTACACTCGTAAAAACAAATTAGATGTGATTGACAAATACTCTCCAACTCGAAGGAGAGTAGTAAGATATAATATTTGGAGAATGTATTATAATAATTAGTTATGGAATACATCTTAGATATTTGTAATTAGTCAATATTTTTTCTTTTATGACTTCGTATATTTTATTTTATTCACGTTTAGTTAATTTATATTTTACTTATTTTTAGGTATTAATTGCTAGCTTGTATCCTATTTAAATGGTTGTGAATACAAAAGAAGATTACACATTTCAATTCCAATTCTATTTCTCATTTTTCAAAATTAGCTATGATAGCACGTTGAGAATGAGAAATAGAATTGGGATGAAAGAGTGCAATTTTCATTGATATTCATAACCTTTTAAATAGGATACAAGCTACTCCAACTCATACCTTAAAAATAGGAAAATATAAACAACTAAATTTTAAGAATAAAATAAAATATACGATTGATCAAATCATACCAAAAAAAATTAATTGACTACGAATCTCTAAAATATATTCCATAACTAATTATTATAATATATTCTCTAAATATTATATTTTAATCTTCCTCCTCAAATTGGAGAGTCATGTCAATCACATCTAACTTGTCTTTTACGAGTGTATGTCAATCACATCCAACTTGGCTTGTACGAGTGTAAGTCAATAACACCCAACTTATTTTTACGAGTGTAGGTCATAACACTCCACTCATCTTTATGAGTGTATATATATATATATATATATTTTTTAAGTTCTGATTTTTATGGAAAAGTAGAAAATAATACCAAAAGAATTTACGAATTAACAGTGTTACTTAAAATTAATTTTTTAAAAAAAGTTCGTAACGAATTATAAATGCATGTCCCTCTAAAAATGTAAAATACCAAAACTATATGTTAACCTATTTTCCTTTTGAATCCTCCAATGGCAAAGGAACAGAACATACTGGTTTACTTTTTCTTTCGGCTACTCCCAACCTATATTATTTGTATTTGTGATGTGACGATAATAAATCTGGGATCACATTCTTTTTCAATATTATGTAACGTATGGAAGATTGTTAGAATCCCATATAATTTAAGGGAAAGATCGTATATTTATAAGTGAGAGACAATATCTTTATTAATAAGAAACATTTTCAAAAATAGTACGAAATCTGGTGCCTAAACGTATTATTTATATAATTGGCTTTGAAGTGCTGTGATTGGGCCTACATTGCACGAAGAAATATACTATTTAAATTAATGGACTAAAATGAAGGTAGAGTCCATTTTTTTTTAAAAAAAAAAACAGGATTATTATTTAAAAAAATTGACCATTGACCTCTTTGAATCTCGTGTACGACTAAAGGGATTTACGCCTACCACTTTTGTAACAATTCAATTAACCAAAAAACTTGTTCACGTTTTTTGATGTACCAAAAATTATCCTCCTTTTGTCATTCCTTTCAAAATGCACTTTAATATTTATTTTGTTTTATTTAAAGTACATTTTTCAAGGAAAAGTTTCTTTTTTTTAAAAAAAAAAAAAAACCCTTGAAAGACAATTGAAGTTTGTTTGATCTAAGCTATCTTAATTAAGATCAAAACTTGATTATCACTCTCTCATTTGTTCATTTTTTTTATAAAAAAAAAACTTCAAAATTCTTTGCTTGAATAAACACAAATTTTATACATTTAGACTATCATGGCTGTCAATTAAAAAAAAAAAAAAAAGAAGTTGTACTAAAATAAATAAATAAATAAAAAGTAGACATTTAACTTTAAAAAAAAAATAAGAACATAAAAAATCATATCAAATGCAAATATTTTAAAATCAAAAAGCTAAAATCTAACTTTTTTTTTTTTTTTCTCTGAACGTAACTCTTGGTTTAGAGCAATGTTATATAGCAATTTGTGAGAGGTATGTCTATAAACAAAATATTTAGAGAAAATATGAAGTGTAAATACTTAACATAAAATATTTGATAGAAGAATTATATGATGAATACTTAATAAAATATTTGATAGAAGAATTATATGATGTCATTAATTGTAATTATTTTAGTTTTTGTGCACGTGAGAAAATACTAGTAATTAAAGAAATGAGACTAAAAGTGGTCAAGTTTACTTAGATTTTGAAATGGGAGCGTGAGAGTTAAATGCAAAACACAAGCGGGGCCTCTCTCCTCTTTGGTGTGGGACACCAAAAGCAGTTCGGACAATCCTACTTTGTCACTCGACACGCTGTACGCCAAACCCCCATCCGACAATTCCGTCTCTCTCTTCATTGGCGCTCAAAAGCTTATATATTCACACCTAAACAAAAACATGCTCTGCTCAACTTCAATTGCTGAGCTCTAGTTTATCATGTTGTGTTTTACCCTGTTTTTCCTTTTTTACTAATGCTTTGGCCTTTGCCCAATTGTTCCTTGTTGTGATTTGCAGTTGGGTTCTGTTGCTTCTGTAATTTCTCCTTTTGGAAGGCACATTTTCAGCTCCAAACCTCGTCGTTTTGTGTATCTTCTTCAGCTTTCTCCTTCACGCTCTTCGAGATTCCAACACCCACCCATTGCTTTCCTAAACCACACACTATATTTTGCAGGTGATTGTCGATTTCTGGGTCCTCTGTTTTTGAGCTTCCCGCTCTATTATTTTGTACAAAACGCTGTCTTTTGGGTTTAATCTGTTTTTATTCATTTCGATTTCCGCTTCCTTGTTTTTCGGGTTGTGGGAATATTGATTTTTGGTGGAATTCCTGTTCTTTTCCCAGCAAAAGTAAAAGATGAATGCCAGAGTCCGCGGCTGCACTCAAACCGTCAAAGCTCATAATCATGACAAGGTGGATTTAGTTTGTTCCTTTTTCTTTTGCTTTCTCTTTTTTCCTTTTCCACTGAAAGCTGTCTTATTGTTCCAACTTTAGATTGCTTTCCCCACAGAGTTAGCCTGCGCTTCGATTTATTTGGTTTTAGGCTTTCACTTTGATTACAATTTGAAGCTTTTAAAGCTGCCCATCAAATTCCTTCTGAATCCCTCTGTTTTGTCTATCCGGAAAATGGAAATGACTGCCATTGTTATTCTTTCTGATGCACATTTTGTTCATCAACTTTTATGATTGTTTTTTGTTCCCTGAATTTTGATAGAAGGTGAAGCAATTAGAAACTGGGAGGAGCAAGACGATGGCGAATGACAAACCTGGGATTATCATAAATCGGCACAGAATGAACAGAGAAAGAAAAATAGCATTGCTACAAGATGTAATTATGTCCTTCTCCAACTGCGATTTTAGGGAAAATGTCGGTTATTTGATGGATTTGTAATTTTGAAATTTGCAGGTTGATAAGCTGAAGAAGAAGCTCAGACATGAAGAGAATGTTCACAAGGCATTGGAAAGAGCTTTTACTCGACCTCTAGGAGCTCTCCCTCGTCTTCCTCCATATCTCCCTCCTTATGTTAGTATAACCTGCAAATTTCATCCTCTCTTTTTCATTCGTTTTTCTATTCTTCATTAAAAGAATGGAAAAGGGTTGGACTGATAACACTTAGAATTTTGAAATTTCCTGTTTACTTCCTTGTTGCAGATACTAGAACTTCTTGCTGAAGTAGCTGTTCTAGAGGAAGAGGTTGTTAGGCTAGAAGAACAGGTTGTAAATTTCAGACAAGGGCTCTATCAGGAAGCTGTATATGTATCATCCTCCACCAGGAATTCGGTCGATTCCGCCGACACAATGGATCCCATATCGACCAGAATTTCGAAGCACCGAAGAACGAAATCATATTGCCAAAATGAGTTCAATTCTGCAAACTCAATAGCCAAGCTGCAGCCTGCACTGGCTAGATGTTCTTCAAGTCGAAAGCTATTGTCGAACGACAACTTCTTCGATCGTAATGGAAACTGTTGTAACAGATTTGGCAATGGGAAACATGTTCCTGGGAAATCGAGTTCCTTTTTGTTTCTTCCAGAAGATGGGCAGGGAAAGGAGAATGAATCATATGCAAATTCTGTGAAAAGTAAGCCATCTCCTGAAAAGAAAGTTGATAGAATTATAAGCCCATTGAAGAAGTCCCCTTTCAAGCAAGAATTTTTGGAGAAGAACTCAAGTCCTTTGAAGTTTCAGGTTTTTGCTTGTTGCCATATTGAATTTAACTTCAACCTAAACAAATTTCAATAACTCATTGAGTTGCTTCCAATTTTGCAGCCGGAGTTTAGATTGGATCGAGAAAAAGCAAAGGACAATGCATCTAGTTTGTTTGATGATATAGAGGGTAGTAGCTCGCCAAACAAAATTTCTGAGGACATTGTGAAGTGTTTGTGTTCCATTTTCATAAGACTGAGTTCATCAAAAGACAAAGCTATGGACTCATCAGATACTCAAACTTCAAACGGATCAGCAGAGTTGCAAGATCCTTATGAGGTCTGTTCAGATTTCAAATGTAGGAACATTGGTCCCTATAGACATCTCTGTGCAATCGAAGCTAGCTCCGTGGATCTCAACCGATCAAGTAGCGCAGTTCATCTAACTCATAGGCTAAAGTAAGTTGTGTAGATGTGTTTTCTTGCCTGAAAATTTCTGGTGATTTTGTTATCTGAATGAAGCTATTCATTGTACTGCACAGAAACTTGTTCCAGAGACTCGCCTTGGTTAACTTGGCAGGTCTTAACCATCAGGAGAAGCTAGCTTTCTGGATCAATATCTACAATTCATGCATGATGAACGTGAGTTACTATAAAATCTTCATTTACCTGATAATTAGAGTCCTAAATCAAGAAACTAACACGGCTGCATTGTGTGACGTTAGGCATATTTAGAGCATGGGATACCTGAGAGTCATGAAGGAGTTGTCACATTGATGCAGAAGGTAAAATGAGTATGCCATCTTGTTTGGTGGGGCTGTTGTTGTTCACGACATTCAAACTCAAAACTGTTCTTGTCATGTCAGGCAACAATTGTTGTGGGAGGACACCTTCTAAATGCAATAACAATCGAGCATTTCATCTTGAGACTTCCTTATCATCTGAAGTTCGTAAGTCCATCCTTTCCAACTCCTCTAAATAGTCCAATGCTAACAGCTAAGTTGTTGATGCATTTTGGTCCATAAACTTCAGACCTGCCCAAAAGCAGTAAAGCACGACGAGATGAGAGCACGCAGCGTGTTCGGATTGGAATGTTCTGAACCGTTGATTACGTTTGCACTCTGTTGTGGAAGCTGGTCGTCTCCCGCGGTAAGTATGCCACATTTGGATATGACATTGTCCATCTAAAACATCTGTTACCACAGTATCACATCTCAGGTTGTGAGGTTGGGTTTTACTGATGTAAAACATGTGTGAAATGAATGAAGGTGAGAGTGTACAGAGGATCAAATGTTGAAGAGGAGCTAGAAATAGCAAAGAGGGAGTATTTGGAGGCAGCCATTGGGATTTCAAAGAGGAGCAAGAAGTTGATGATCCCAAAGGTTTTGGATTGGTACTTACTTGACTTCGCAAAGGACATGGAATCACTGTTGGATTGGGTTTGCTTGCAGCTTCCAAATGAGCTGAGAATTGAAGCAGCTAAATGCGTTGAGAGGAAAGGGAGAGAGCCTGTCTCACAAATTGTACAAGTAATGCCATATAATTTCACCTTCAGAATGCTGCTGTTACACACATGATGAAACACAAACCAACTAACTAACTTTATTTATTTTATTTATTTATTTATTTATAATATCTCAGGTCTTATAAGTTAATTTAGTGTAGTTAAAGTTGATTTGATTCGAGTGAATTGGATTATTGGGCAACTTGGGTGTTGCTGGGCCTGGGAGTGGGAGTGGGCTTTCCTGTCCTCATCTAATTCTCTAATAATTGCTCCGACCTCTCATTTTCGTGAATTAAATTGCTCGAAAATAGAATTTGTTGAAAAAGACAATTCAACTCTCTCGCTTTTTATTGTCGTCTTATTATCTGTCTTTCCACTACCTTCCCTCAAATGCCCTCAAAAAATTCAACTTTATCGCATACCAGAGACTCCAATTTACTCGTTCAGAATCAGAGTTCAACCAAACACAACACAGTTATATGAACCTCATTTGCATTTGCATTTTCATTGCGATTGACTGTATGATATGATATATGGCAACATTTCTGAGTTCTTCCTTCTTTATTTGGTACGCTATGATTCAAACACTAAAGAGATAGAAGAATATGACGAGACTGGTTGGTTTTGGAATCCCTCAGCGCCTAGAATTCGAATCAGGATTTGGTATCCAGATTTAGTACTTGACGGCCTAACATGACATGCTCACGTTATCTACACTCCACTTTTTAAGAGTGAAAACTATCGCCATAAACTAACACGAGTATGTTTTGTCCGTCAGAATTTAGTGCAACTTGCTACTAGTTGAATTAGTCGGTTGTTGAGTTATTCATCTTTATTAAGTGTATTTTAGTTGAGTGTTTTGTAGGAGTTATTTATAGGATTTATTTGAATTTAAATAGAAGCCATCCACCGAGTAAAACACGGCCACACTAGAACACATCATTATTTCGGTGGTCTCTCTATATTGTCTTCTTTGAGTAATACAACACTTCATTATTTCAGTTGTCTTTGTATTGTCTTCTTCAAGTAATAATAATTTCATATTTATTCCCTGTATTGTCCTCTTCACTCCAAGTAATAATAATTTCATATTTATTCCCACTTTGAAGGAGATAGTGTGACCGTTGGTATAGAGTCATGTCCTAAACTTAGGAATGTCAATAAGAAGGAAAACTGAGACGGAGGAGTTGGAAGTTGGTGGGAGCGAGGAGGGGGTGGAATAAAACTTTTAAAAGAAAGGGAAGTAATGGAATCAAATCCCATTTTTCCAGAATCTTCCCCTTTACCTCTCTCCCCTCTTTAAAATATATTCCAAATCATTATTGAATTCCAAAGCACGCGGTCTAGCTGGAGTTCTTATCGACTCATCCAAACATCTTATTTAATATGATTGCTACGTTGCGTCCCTTTCCTTTTTGTATCATTTGGAATATATATAACACAACAATTAACTCTAAATATTACACTACAAGGGGGAACCACCGAATTGCATTCAAAACCCTGACACACAACTCAAGTTTGGTTCTTTATTTTTCCTAATTTTAGATTCTCTCTCTTCCACTTCTGGAAATTTGAGCATCCATCCCTTTGCCGGCGCCACCCTTCATTCGTCTCTCCGCCCCTTTCTTCTTCGATTAATAAATCTTTCCCCAGAAACAATATGACATGATGTTTTAAGTTAAATAAAACAATTAGAGGGCTTTTAGGATGCCGGAAATGATTGGAGGAGGTTTCGGTAAGCATGGAGGTCACGTTGGCGGTGGAAACAGTGGCCACGTGAAACAAGTTTTGATCCATCACAACTCTGCCCTCTTTCTCACCCACCGCATCCCTTCGCAACCCAATAATCCCATCATTTAATGCTCCCTATGGCGCACACACAGACACAAATAAATAGTATACCTTTATTATTATTATACATATAAACTTGGCCCTGTAATTTTAAAATATAGAATTTACTATATGTCACCATTTTGAGAAAACATGTGCAACAATTAGATTTTGACATAATTTAAGAGTTAAATGGTTAAGAGGACGTTTGTAGTATGAATCTAAATCTGTCACTCCATTGGTGATTTTGTAAGCCATAATCTTTTTGTTGGTATTGGAAGAGCAAATTTAGAATCTGTAACTTTACAAAATTCCAGTAAGAATTTGTGTCCAACATGTTTTGACTACCAACCTAGTGGTGGTACAACATAAATGTCTCTTCTCATTTCAAACTTATTCCCCTCACCAAAACTTTACCTTAAAAAACATAAAACAACACAAAACAAAACGCAAACCAACAATTTGAGACATTTTTTTATTTTTATTAATACGATGACTTGAATAAATAAATAAACATCAAATTTGAAAGACTAAATTGTTTGGGGTTATGAAAAGATTTTTTGAGGGATATTTTATTTAAAAATAAGAACTATATATATATATATATATATATAAAAAGGAAGTTGTTTATGGATAGAGTATTTGGACTTTGGTGAGGAGGAGGAGGAGGGGGAAGGGGGAGGGTGAATGATTATGGAAGGGGATGCAATGGGGAGAAGGTTTAATAGAAGAAAAGGTGAAACCCAACAGTCCCATAAACCCCAAAATCCCAAATCCAAACTATGTCTCTTCAAATTGAGGCAAACCCAATGAACTCAGACAGCGATGGAGAAGATCTTCTATTCTATTGACTCTTGTTTCTTCTTCTTTCTTATATAAACAACTTCTTCCAAATTCTTTTCCATATATATATATATACATATACACACATCTTTATCTACTTCTTCCATTTTCTTTTCTTCTCTAATTAACCATTCAATTCCCAAGGATGCGCAACGTGGGTAGTTCAAGCTCTGCCCGAGGCATCGCCGCCATTGTTGGTGTTGGCCCAAAGCTCGGCCGTTCTATCGCTCGCAAGTTCGCGCACGAGGGCTACACCGTCGCTATTCTCGCTAGAGACTTGGGTATGTACTCAATCGATTACCCTCTTCAAAATGGGAGATTACAATCCCTGTCTCTCATTTTGTTCAGTTTTTCAGGTAGGTTATCGAGATTTGCGGATGAGATTGCCAGAGAAGAGAAGGCTCAAGTGTTTGCGATTCGAATAGATTGCTCTGACTCGAGGAGTGTGCGAGAGGCATTCGAAGGAGTGCTGTCTCTGGGATTTGTCGAAGTTTTGATTTACAATGCGAATCAGCAAGTTTCGAGGCAACCCACAAGATCAACCGACGTTCGTATTGAGTCATTTGAGAAATCTCTCGCTGTTTCATCGGTGGGTGCTTTCCATTGCTCCCAACAGGTACACTACAGGGCTCCCTCACTTTTATCCATTTCTTCATTCCAATAATCCCAGTCCCATTATATACAATATATTTTCCAGAAATCAAATAAAATAGCTTTAGAATTTAGTCTAAAAAACAAATTCGTTTCGAAATTTGTAGGTTCTTCCGGGGATGGTGGAAAGAGGAAGGGGTACGATTCTCTTTACAGGCTGCTCAGCTTCTCTGAATGGCGTTGCTGGTTTCTCTGACCTTTGTGAGTAGTGTTTCTATCTGAGATTTACAAGAGCACCGCACCCCCCCCCCCCCCCCCCCCC